AAAAAAAAAAAACAAAAAACAGAAAAATAACAAGTATTGACAACAATGGGGAGAAATTCAAATCCTTGACACTATTGGTGGGAATGTAAAATGATACTGCTGCTGTGGAAAACAGTTTGGCAGTTCCTCAAAAAAATGAAAAATGGAATTACCATATGATCCAGCAAATCTGCCTCTGGGTATATATCCAAAAGAATGGAAAGCAGTCTCAAAGGGATGTTTGTATATACATGTTCATAACATGATTCATAGTAGCCAAAAGGTGAAAGCAAGCCAAGTGCCTGTTGATAGATGAATGGGGGAAACAAAATGTGATCTATGCATGCAATGGAATATTATTCACCCAAAAAGGAAGGACATTCTGACACATGCAACAACATGGATGAACCTTGAGAATATTATGCTAAGTGAAATAAGCCAGTCACAAAAGGGCAAATACTGTATGGTTCCACTTACATGAGATATTTAAAATAGTCAAAACGTGTAGAGACAGAAAGTAGACTGATGGTTGTCAGGGGCTGGGGTGAGTAGGGAGATAATGTTTATTAAGTACAGAGTTTCAGTTTTACAAGATGAAAAGAGTTCTGTGGATACACAGTGGTAATGGTAGCACAATAATGTGAATGTACTTACTGACACTGAACTATACACTTAAAAATGATTAAGCCAGGCATGGTAGCTCCTGCCTTTAATCCTACCACTTTGGGAGGCTGAGACAGAAGGTAGCAAGACCCTGTCTCTATAAACTAATAAAAAATTAGCTAAGCATAGTGGCTGGTATACACCTATAGTCCCAGCTACTGGGGAGGCTGAGGCGGGAGGATTGCTTGAGCCTAGGAGTTTGAGGATATTGTGAGTCATGATTGCACCACTGTACTCCAGCCTAGGTGACAAAGCAAGACCCCCCTCTCTTAAAAAAAAAAGAAGAAGAAAAATGATTAAGATAAATTTTATATTACATGTATTTTGCCAATTAAATTTTTTTAAATAGCAGTGAATTTATAAAAGACTTGTAGCTACTTAAATTTTCAAACAGGCTGGGTGTGGTGGCTCACGCCTGTAATCCCAGCACTTAGGGAGGCTGAGGCAGGCAGATCATCTGAGGTCATGAGTTTGAGACAAGCCTGGCCAATATGGTCAAACCGTGTCTTACTAAAAATACAAAAATTAGCCGAGCATGGTGGCGCATGCCTGTAATCCCAGCTACTTGGGAGGCTGAGGCAGGAGGATCACTTGAACCACACCATTGCAATCCACTATGGGCAACAAGAGTGAAACTCCATCTCATAAATAAATTTAAAAAATAATAAATAAATTTTCAAACAGAATTACCTAGAAGTATGTCACTTAACTTTTCTTCCTTTTTTTTTTTTTATTTTTTATGTGTTCTAGCATCCATGAGTATGTTTTCTGATTTCCTGCAGTCTTTTCTGAAGCACTCTTCGGGTACAGTTTTTGATCTTGTGGAAGAGTATGAAAATATTTGTGGTAGTCAGGTAAGCTAATTTCACTCCATTAGTCAAACTTCGGCATTTTTGGTTTTTATAAACAGCATTAACCTCCTAATTTATAGCATTTAAGGGAGATGTCTTAGGGGAGCAGTGGCAGGAATGGAGGGAAAGTCAACTAGAGCATCTCTGCATTTTACATATTGAGGGTCCATACAAGATTTATTTGGGAGACAAAAGGATTCTGCTGCTTTGAAAAAGGAAAATCCGGCCAGATGTGATGGCTCCCAATGCTTTGGGAGGCCAGAGCAGAAGGATCACTTGAACCCAGGAGTTCAAGACCAGCCTGGGCAACATGGGAAGGCCTTATTCTCTACAAGAAATACATTTGCCAAGCATGGTGGTACACACCTGTGGTCCTAGCTACTTGGGAGGCTAAGGTGGGAAGATTGCATGAGTCCCAGAGTTTGAGGCTACAGTGAGCCATGATCACACCACTGCACTCCAGCCAGGGTGACAAAGTAGACCCTGTCTCAAAAAAAGAAATGAAAATTTAAAATATATGAAGAAAAAGAAAGAAAATATATGAAGAATATTTACAATTCAACAATAAGAAGTGGGGGTGGGGGGCGGGAGAGCATCAGGAACAATAGGTAATGCCTGCTGGGTTTAATACCAAGGTAATGGGTTGACAGGTGCAGCAAACCACCATGGCACATGTTTACCTATATAACAAACCTGCACGTCCTGCACATTTATCCTGGAACTTATAATAACAAAACAAACCTCAACAATAAGAAAATAAACAACCTAGTTAAAAAATGAACAAAAGGTGGGAACAGGCACGTCACCAAAGAAGATATTCAGATGGCAAATAAGCATATGAAGAAATGCTTTGGCGAGGCATTACTCATGCCTGTAATCCTAGCACTTTGGGAGGCCAAGGCGGGCAAATCACCTGAGGTCAGCAGTTCGAGACCAACCGAGCCAACATGTTGAAACCCATCTCTACTAAAAAATACAAAGTTGCCGGGCGCTGTGGCTCACGCCTGTAATCCCAGCTCTTAGGGAGGCAGAGGCGGAAGGATAGCTTGAGCCCAGGAGTTCGAGACCTGCCTGGGCAATATAGCGAGACCCCGTTCTCCACAAAAAGGAAAAAAACAAAAAGCAGACACTTTACAAAAGAAGACATACATGAGGCCAACAAACATGAAAAAATGCTCATCATCACTGGTCATCAGAGAAATGCAAATCAAAATAACATTGAGATACCATCTCACACCAGTTAGAATGGCGATCATTAAAAAATCTGGAGACAACAGATGCTGGAGAGGATGTGGAGAAATAGGAACACTTTTGCACTGTTGGTGGGAGTGTAAATTAGTTCAACCATTGTGGAAGACAGTGTGGCGATTCCTCAAGGACCTAGAAATAGAAATTCCATTTGACCCAGCAATCCCATTACTGGGTATATATCCAAAGGATTACAAATCGTTCTACTATAAGGACACGTGCACACGAATGTTCATTGCAGCACTGTTTACAATAGCAAAGACCTGGAACCAACCCAAATGCCTATCGACGATAGACTGGATAGGGAAAATGTGGCACATATACACCATGGAATATTATGCAGCCATCAAAAACGAGTTTGGCTCCTTTGTAGGGACATGGATGAACCTGGAAACCATCATTCTCAGCAAATTGACAGAAGAGCAGAAGATCAAACACTGCATGTTCTCACTCATAGGCGGGTGTTGAACAATGAGAACACATGGACACAGGGAGGGGAGCACTACACACTGGGGTCAGTTGGGGGGAAATAGGGGAGGGATGGTGGGGGGTGGGGAGCTGGGGAGAGATAGCAAGGGGAGAAATGCCAGATGTAGGTGATGGGGAGGAAGGCAGCAAATCACACTGCCACGTGTGTACCTATGCAACAATTTTGCATGTTCTTCACATGTACCCCAAAACCTAAAATGCAATAAAATAAATAAATGGAAAAAAAAAAAAATAAAAAGTTAGCCAGGTGTGATGGCGGGCACCTATAATCCCAGCTACTCAGGAGGCTGAGGCAGGAGAATCGCTTGAACCTGGGAGGCGGAAGTTGCAGTGAACCAAATTAAGCCATTGTATTCCAGCTTGGGTGACAGAGCAAGACTCCGTCTCAAAAAATAAAAAATAAAAAAACCCAGATAAGATGGTTCATATCAGCCATTAGAGAATTGCAAATTAAAATAATGACTTACTACAATATACCTATTAGAATGGTGAAGATCCGGGCCAGTGCTGTGGCTCCCGCCAGTAATCCCAACACTTTGGGAGGCTGAGGCAGGAGGAACACTTGAGGCCAGGAGTTCAAAGCCAGGCTGGGCAGCATAGCAAAACCCCATCTTTGCAAAAACAAAAAAGAAATAGAATGATGAGGATCCAAAACATAAATGCTGGAGAGGATGTGGAGCAACAGGAACTATCATTCATTGCTGATGGAAATGCAAACAGCTATAGCTACTTTGGAAGACAGTTGCAGTTTCTTAAAAACTAAACATACTCTTACCTAAATGCATATTGCTAAGTGAAAGAAGCCAATCTAAAAAGGCTACATATTATATGATTACAATTATACAACATTCTGGAAAAGACAAAACTTGGAAACAGTAACAAGTTCATCAGTTGCCAGGAGTTAGTTGAAAGGGAGTGATGAATAGGTAGAGCACAGGTTTTGTGTTTTTTTTTTAACAACTGGTAATCCAATTTATTAAAGTAGCTGACTTAAGCATCTGCAATGGTGACTTCCACCTCAACTCCTGGCTCAATACTGATGGAAGTAATCTGCTTAACAGTCTCAGAAGGACTGTGCAAGTCAATGAGTCGCTGTGGATTCTCATCTGGAAACGATCCCATGTCTTAGAACCCTCACCACAAGGAGTTTTTCTTGTAGTGATTCTCAAAGTCTTGGTAGGCATTCGACTGGTCCTTTCACTTTGAGGTTCTTTTCCTTTGCTCTTCTGATCAAATCAGCACATACCTTCTCTGGGGATTTTACGTTACGGCTTGTTAGAGTGATTCGAATTCGGTGAATTGCCACCTCTAGCTCCACAGGTGTTTTTCCAGTATCCTTAAAAGCCATGGCTGCTGCGCAGCTTCCTAACTGACTTGTTCCTCTGGGAGAGCGAACAGCAGTGAGTCAGGAGCAGGAGCGTGTGGATCCACGATATGCAACAACTACGAGACCGCATCTTCCTCCAAGCACAGGATTTTGTTTTTTTGTTTCTTTTGTTTTTGTTTTTAACTTGGGAACCAGAGCACAGGATTTTTAAGGAAGCGAAACTAGTCTGTATGCTATACATGGGTGACACGTCAGTATACATTTGTCATAATCCATCCATAGGATGTACACCACCAAGAAAGAATCTTAATATAAACTGGACTTTGGAGGATAATGATTTGTCAATATAGGTTCCTCAGTTGTAACAGATGTACCATTCTAGTGTGAGATATTGATGGTGAGGGAGGCTGTGATTTTGTGGGGGGAAGGGATATTCGGCTACTCTGCTTTCTGCCCCATTTTGCTGTGAAATTAAAACTACACTAGACCATGCGCAGTGGCTCACACCTGTAATCTCAGCACTTTGGGAAGCCTGGGCAAGTGGATTACCTGAGGTCAGGAGTTTGACACCAACCTGGCCAACATGGTGAAACCCCGTCTCTACTACAAATACAAAAAAATTAGTTGAGTGTGGTGGTGGGCACCTCTAATCCCAGCTACTCAGGAGGCTGAGGTGGGAGAATTGCTTGAACCTGGGTGGCAGATGTTGCAGTAAACTGAGATTGTGCCACTGCACTCTAGCCTGGGTGACAGAGTGAGACTCCCCCATCTCAAAATAAAAGTACACTAAAAAAAAAGTCTATTTTTAGAAAGGAAAATGCGTCAAGAAAATATTGCATTCAGTAATAATTGAAATAATAGTAATTGACAACTTTTTATCATTTAATGTTTTAATAATTGACCTCTGAATTGTTCTATTATAAATGCAGTAGCTTCATTAAATAACAAAAACAATAATAATCACTTAGTGAATCACTGGAGTCAGGATTCCAACTGAGAATGTAATAAATGAATGAAGTACAGATAACACTTTTATGAAGTACTAATTTTAAGACAGTACTAACATTACTTTGTAAATACTTACTAAGGGGTGGGAAAACCCATTGTGGTGTTCTGAATGAGAGCAGTCTTGTTCCTTAATTACTCTTGACAAGATAATGAGATACTGTTAATAACCTTTGAGAAAGATTTTCTTTACCCTGGGTCATTAAACCTCCTAATAAACAATTGTGTGTGTGTTTCTAGGGGGACCATTCATGTTTTTTATTAGATTTTCACATGTGCCTCAGTCCTGAAAATGTTCCCACCCCCCAACCCGAGACAGGGTCTCATTCTGTGGCCCAGGCTGGAGTGCAGTGGCACAACCTCTGCTCACGGTAACCTTCCCCTCCCGGGTTCAAGAGATTCTCCTGCCTCAGTCTCCCAAGAAGCTGAGATTACAGGCACGCTTCATCACCCCCGGCTAATTTTTGCATTTTTAGAAG